CCTTGGTGAGATTTTCCTCATCCAGTGACTTTTGGGGCCATGTTATATATAACAGCCATTTCCTGAGAGTCTCGCTTACTTGTCTTGAAAATCATTTTTTTGAATCATGTCCAGTTGTGACATAAACAATTGTGGTGAATATTTTCTGTATTTATCAGGTCAACGTGCACTTTACCTACGTTTCTTTTCTTCAGGTTGCTGCTGTGGAGCAGAGAACGTGGAGGAAACGACTGAACAGAAGGTTTCTGTAAGATTGTCACAGGCAAGGAATCCCAAGGTAGTTTTGTCTTCCCAGAAGAGTCACCCCTGTGAGAGTTGTGGGCTAGTCTTGGGAAACATTTTCCACATGATGGAGGGTCAGGAAACACAACACAGACAGATACTGTTGAGATGTGGGGCATGTGCAAAACAATTATATTTCCGTACAAAATTTCACCAGCAGCATATGAGAGAGAAGTCTTTCATTAGAGGTGTGGAGAGGATCTCACTTGCAAACAGCTGCAATTTCAATGTGTCCCAGAATGGTTTCACATGCAGGGAGGTTGGGCAGGGTGTCCTTACGGGGTCAGGACATTTACACCTAAAGGCTATTCAGACCACAGACAGTCCAACTGCAATTTCGACGTGTGCGATGACATTTCAAAGGAGAAAAAATTATTACAGTAGAAAAGAATGTCAGAGAGACATTAGTTGCACCCACACGTTTATTCAGGAAAAAGGTGTCCATCTTGGAAGTGGGTGTTGTGTGTGCTCTGAATGTGGAAAATATTTTACCAAATTATCTAGCTTTCATTATCAACAAAGAGGTAACACGAGAGAAAAGCCGTATGAATGCAGTGAGTGTGGGAAAGCTTACACCAGTAGCACTGGACTTCGTCGTCATCAGAGATTTCATATGGGAGAAAAGCCTTATAAATGCAGTGAATGTGGGAAATCTTTTACCCAGAGCACTAAACTTCGTTATCATCAGACAGTTCATACAGGAGAAAAGTCTTATAAATGCAGTCAATGTGAAAAATCCTTTAAAAGTAGCAGTGGCCTTCAATATCATCAGAGAGTTCACACTGGAGAGAAGCCTTATAAATGCAGTGAATGTGGAAAATCTTTTGCACGGAGCAATGCCCTTCGTGATCATCACAGAGTTCATACAGGAGAAAAGCCTTATAAATGCAGTGAATGTGGAAAATCTTTTGCACTGAGCAATGCCCTTCATTATCATCAGAGAGTTCACACTGGAGAAAAGCCTTATCAATGCAGTGAATGTGGGAAATCTTTTACCACTAGCGCTGCCCTTCATTGTCATCAGAGAATTCACAGTGGGGAAAAGCCTTATCAATGCAGTGAATGTGGGAAATCTTTTACCACTAGCGCTGCCCTTCATTGTCATCAGCGTTTTCATCGAGTTCATACAGGAGAAAAGCCTTATAAATGCACTGAATGTGGGAAATCTTTTCCCCAGAGCTCTGCTCTTTATTATCATCATAGACTTCATACAGGAGAAAAGCCTCATAAATGCAGTGAATGTGGAAAATCTTTTCCACGTAGCAGTGCGCTGCAATATCATCAGCGTGTTCACAGTGGAGAAAAGCCTTTTAAATGCAGTGAATGTGGAAAATCTTTTACCCAGAGCACTGCCCTTCATTATCATCAGAGACTTCATACAGGAGAAAAGCCTTATAAATGCAGTGAATGTGGGAAATCTTTTACAAGGAGCAGTGGTCTTCAATATCATCAGAGAGTTCACACTGGAGAAAATCATGAGTGCAATTAATATGAGGTATCTCTCAGCCAAATTTCTAAATTTGCTCTGCACATATGAGTCCAAATGTGAGAAATTTCACAGATGTGTAGGAAATGTAGTTTCTTAGTTAGGACTTAACATTAGTACAAGAAAATTTATGTATCCTCATTTTTCTGAATTGTATCTCATACTTTTAATCACCTACATTATGTAAAGTTCCCATAAGTGTTCTTGTTGTGTTTGTTTTTATGTTGGAACACGGTGTAATTATGTTGCATGTTCTAACATAAAGAGATGTTCTGCCAGATCTATGTCACTGCATATTTCTGTTGTAGAAGGTATTTCATCTGAACCACCTATAATGTCCCCTACAAATGGCATCAATCACCATCCTCATGTGCCCGGGGAAGCTAATTCTGTTGTCTTTTTTGTTGAAGAAAATGAGGAATACCTGAGTCCACAGTTCTTTCTTGTTTTCCTGTTATGCGTTGCCACATAGAACTCATTATTGTTGGCCCCAGTAAACATAATGTTGCAGAGGGAATGCTTTCCCTGAATGCCAGTGATGAATTTATTGAGTGCCTGAGTCGTCAGTGGAAGAACTGCCAGTCTCATGTCTCTTTGGTTTGTACAATAATGAAAGCTTTTCGTAATACTTCTTTAATCTTGGGTGTTCTATTTACTGGGTGGGTTAGCTTTAAGGAGATCGGGGCTCTCCAAGCATGATGAGGTGAACAACTTTTTTGGGGTCTCAAACATTTTTGCCCTTGGGGCAACAGTATGGTGCAGGAGTAGCTCAGCAGTTTTTGCAAATTTACACTGCTGCCCATATTTTCCTAGGAAATACTCTGGACTCTCTGATCCTCATGTGATATCTGGATGCTTTGAGACATAGAGATCACTCCAAAGAGAAGGAAGTTGTGACAACTTCAAGTATGTCTGGGAGCACGAATTTTTTTCTTGTTTGCAAGGGATGCCAATACATGTGAAGGGTATCTCTTGCCCAGGTGTTGCAGAGGGCCATGTGCCCTAATGCTTACAATTTCACGAGTGATGGTCACTGGTTTGAGGACCATAGCAGTGAGGGAAACCCTTTTACTGCAGGAACACTGACCTAATTATTGTTGGACAAAACTGCAGCCCATTAGATGGAAGGGTCCTCACCTAAGTGTGCATCCAGGAATTATTTTGGGGAAAAGACTACAGGAGCTCTGTGTACGGAGATCGGAGGGACCCCATGCATGTTTATTTTCTGTGGAGCAGTCATTGTCATTGATTATAATCAAGATGTTTTGTGGCTCTTGTAGCTTCCCAGATGTTCCCATCAGAACCATTGGTGCTCAGGCAGCAAAACAGAAATGGAGACAAAGGCTGTCTTTAGTCCAAGGATGTGGCTTTTGTGGGTTTGGGTGAAAGTTCTTCATCGTATGTTACATTTTCTGTACTGACATGAGACTCTCACCCAGCGGGCATATGAATGTGGAATGAATATAGAATTTCGAAACCTGTTCTTCCAAAATAGATGAGCGTACATTTGTTTTATCTTGAACCATTTTTAACAGTTGTAATGAGTAAGTTATATGTGTTAAGTATAGTGTTTCATAACTATTGACATGTGCATGAAATGAAACCATCATTATAGTCATAATGCTGACTATATGTTACACAGTGTAATTGCTTCATGACCTCTTTTAACGTGTCCCTGTTCTTCACAGCTTTCCTAGTTTCCATGGATTTACATTTCACTTTCATAGAGTACTTTATTTTCTTTGAGTATTTTTCTGCTTTAATTTAGTTTTCATAAATACTTGTAGATTTATTCAACTTATATTAGTAACTCAACTTTTTTCCTGATAGATATTTTTTTAAAAAAATAATATATTTTATTGAGGAAACTGTCCAGAACACTCGGTGTGAGGTTCAGGAGTGGCGGCTGCCTCAGCTGCGCGCAGCAACACCCTCTTTCCAGCTCCTCCACACCTGCCTCAGCCTGCTCACCGGCTGTCAAATATGATGAAAGCAACCACTTACTATGATGTTTTGGGGATCAAACCCAGTGCCACCCAGGAAGAAGTGAAAAAGGCATATAGGAAGCTGGCCTTAAAGTACCACCTTGATAAGAATCCAATAGAAGAAGAGAAGTTTAAACAGATTTCTCAAGCTTACGAAGTGCTCTCTGATGCAAAGTTAAGGGATGCGTAGTGATAAAGGAGGAGACCAAGCAATTATGGAAGGTGGAGGTGGTGGTTGTTTTGGTTCCCCCATGGACATCTTTGATACGTTTTTGGTGGAGAAGGAAGGATGCAGAGAGAAAGGAGAGGTAAAAACATTGTGCATCAGCTCTTCGTAACCTTAGAAGACTTAGATAATAGTGCAGCGAGGAAACTAGCTCTACAAAAGTATGTGATTTGTGATCAATGTGAAGGTCAAGGTGGTAAGAAAGGAGCAGTAGAGTGCTGTCCCAATGGCTGAGGAACTGGAATGCAAGTAAGCATTCATCAGATCGGCCCTGGAATGGTTCAGCAAATTCGGTCTGTGTGCATGGAGTGCCAGGGCCATGGGGAAAGGATCAGTCCAAAAGTTTGATGCAAAAGCTGCAACAGAAGGAAGATAGTTTGAGAGAAGATTCTAGAATTTCATATTGAAAAATGGCCAGAAGATAACATTCCATGGTGAAGGAGACCAGGACCCAGGGCTGGAGCCAGGAGATATTATCATTGTTTTAGATCAGAAGGACCATGCTGTTTTCGCTTGACGAGGAGAACGCCTTTTCATGTGTATGGATATACAGCTGGATGAAACATTGTGTGGCTTCCAAAAGCCAATAGCTACTCTTGACAACCGAACCATAGTCACCAGCTCTCATCCAGGTCAGATTGTCAAGCATGGAGATACCAAGTGTGTATTAAATGAAGGCATGCCAATTTATCGTAGACCATATGAAAAGGGTCGCCTAATCGTGGAATATAAGGGAAACTTTCCTAACAATGGCCTTCTCTCTCCTGATAAACTCCCTTTCCTGGAAAAACTGCTTCCTGAAAGGAAGGAAGTAGAAGAGACTGATGAAATGGACCAGGTAGAACGGGTGGACTTTGATCCAAATCAAGAAAGAATGCACCATTACAATGGAGAAGTATATGAGGATGATGACCATCATCCTAGGGGTGGTGTTCAGTGTCAGACCTCTTAATGGGTCCAGGGAATAACACTGCTGGCATTTTATATACAGTAGTGAATGAGTGAAGGACTGTAACCATAATATGCTCACTACTTGCTATTGTTTTTGTTTTAATATTCAAGTATAGTAGTGTTTTAAAAGTTAAATGAAGAATAAACTCAAATAGCAAAACTCTGAATATATATATATATTTATTTATTTTGTTGATTTTGCAGAGAGGAAGGGAAATGGGTAGAGAGGTAGAAACATTGATCAATCCATCAGGTGCCTCCTTCACCCCCCCTACTGGAGATGTACCTGCAACCAAGGTACATGCCTTTGACCAGAATGGAATCTGGGACCCTTTGATCCACAGGCCAGCACTGTATCCACTGAGCCAAATGAGTTAGGGCTCTGATAGATATTCTTATCATTGAAATATCACCATCAGTTTGTCCATTTTAATAAATATTTGGTTATTTCTAACAAAGCTGGTACAAAAATTTCTGTATAATTTCTCGTATGTATATAAGTGTTATTTACCTTTGTCAAAAATTCAGTGCATAGTTGGGTTTTTGAGTAGATGAATGTTTAAAGTTACCGACATTAGCAAATTGTGATCTAAACAGAATATACCACCAGTGCTAGTGTGGCTCGGTGCTTGGCCATCATCTCATGCAGCCCAGGGTTGTGGATTTGATTGCCAGTGGGGATATGTGCCTGGCTTGTGGGCTAGATCCACAGAAGTGGGTGTGGAGGGGGCGGCTGGCTGATATGGCACTCTTCCATCAATGTTTCTCTCCCTCTCCCTTCCCTCTCTAAAAATTACTAAACGATTCTTTAAAAATAGAAAATAAACTTTAACTGATTGTAGTTTTTTACATTTTTCAGCAGTGTGTTAGAGATTCACATTCTCCACATCCTAGAGAATAATTTGTTCGGTCAATTAAAACTTATTTAAACTTTTTTTTTGAGACGTTTGTTGTGCTGCTTCACTATTTGATTATATTTTTTCTAGGAATTTACGGTGAGCCTTTTCTCAGAAGTTTGTTTGTTGAGTCTGTATCTTTGTTAAAACATCATATGTTCTGCCTAATGTGCTATGAGTTTTGGCAATTTTCTTTAACAATAGGATTGTGGAACAACAATGATAGATGTTGGCATTTCACTCATTTTGTGCATTTTTATTTAAAAAATAAACATTTTTTGTATTGGAATGATATGTTTTAATATTTTTTCCTTAAAAACGTATTTTAATTGCCCTAGCTGATTTGGCTATCCCTCTCATTTCCTCTCTGTAAAAAAAAACAACCAATAAAATTATATATTTTTAAAAGAAATAACCCCTTCTGCTGGTCTAAGTCAGTTTCCACCTGTGAAAAAAAGTATGAGGTATGTTTTCATACCGGAACTATTGGAGACGGTTCAGTGGTAAGGTGTCCACTTGTGTAACGCAGCTGTGCCTGCAGCCTGCCTTGGCTCCAGCAACTCCCGCCACTCCCTGCAGAGACATTCCCAGGCAGGCACTCCTCACTCCCCCGATGCCTGCAAGCACCTTTGTCTTTGGGTGCATTTTAGTGAGAAATGGGACCTATAAGAAGCTGCTGACTCTGCTGCAGGGAGGCAGGTGCTGTGCCACTCAGGTCTCATTGTGGTGCGTCCCATATCAAATTGCTGAAAAAGCTCAATGTCAGAGAAATGAAGTCAGATTCAAGGAGCTGGATTTTAACTATTATTTTCTCCAGCGTCAGACACACTCTCTACCACTGATGTGCAGCCCTCACTGGAGCAGGTACAGTCTGAGGCCCAGGGTGCCTCAGCTGCAGCTCTTGTTTCCATGGTTGCAGTTATGCGTTTCCTCCCAGTCCCTTAACATCTCAGAATACTTATCCCTGGCCTCCTTGTGTGTAGGGGACACCATCATTTCTCAGTGCAGTGGTTTCTCTCGGCGAACCTTCTTTCAGAGTGAGCAGTTGTTTGTCTGCCTCCCCTTTGATCCCAGCACAGACTATGACCCTCAGGAGACCTCGGTAATTAGGGCTGGGTTTCTGCACTTGTCCCCACCTGTTGGGTGTCATACTTCTGTTCTCTTTATTGGGGTGAATTTCATGCTTCAGTTTGACCCCTAATATGTGACGCTGACACTCACCCCTTAGGAGGAAACAAAGGAAACATCAATGATAAGAGGGAATCATTGATCGCTGCTTCCTCCACACCCTATTGGGGATGGAGCCTTCAATTCGGGCATGTGCTCTGACTGGGAATCTAACCAAGGACCTCTTTGTGTATGGGTGGAAGCTCAAGCACTGACCCACACCAGCTGGGTGAGTCATTACTTTTTAAATGCTATGCCCTGTGCAATGAACATTTTTAATTTTAACCTGCACTATTAACATTCTCCATCGCTTTTAGAACACCAGTCATCTGATCCTGCACTAAGCCCTTCTTTTGTCATCTTCTGCATTTTCCTTGTCTTCTGTTGGAACAGTTCTCTCAGGAAGGCCAGAGGGCATCTGGGTGGGGAGGGGGCTTTAGAGTCCCAAAGTCAATGCAGCGGGAAATAGAAGGGTAGTGATCAGATTCCCTATGCCCTGGATCAGGCATCCTCCATTTGAATTTCAGATTCTCTGTTATTACTGGGACTTACAGTGAAATAACCCCTTCTGCCCTTACTGGTTTGGCTCAGTGGATGGAGCATTGGCCTGCGGACTGAAGGGTCCCGGGTTCGATTCCAGTCAAGGGCATGTACCTTGGTTGCGGGAACATCCCCAGTGAGGGATGTGCAGGAGGCAGCTGATCGATGTTTCTCATTGATGTTTTTAACTCTCTATCCCTCTCCCTTCCTCACTGTAAAAAAAACAAGAAAATATTTTTTTTTTTAAAGAAATAACCCCTTCTGCTGGTCTAAGTCACTTTCCTCCTGTGAAAAACAAGTATGAGGTATGTCCATGACAGAGGTATTGGAGAAGGTCCAGTGGTAAGGTGTGCACTTGTGTAACGCAGCTGTGCCTGCAGCCTGCCTTGGCTCCAGCAACTTCAGCCACTCCCTGCAGAGACATTCCCAGGGAGGCACTCCTCACTCCCCCGATGCCCGCCAGCACCTTTGTCTTTGGGTGTATTTTAGTGAGAAATGGGACCTATAAGGAGCCACTGACTCTGCTGCAGGGAGGCAGGTGCTGTGGGCACTCAGGTCTCATTGTAGTGTGTCCCATTTCAAATTGCTGAAAAAGTTCATTGACAGAAAAATGAAGTAAGGTCTCCAAGTTAACACCACAGACAAGTGTCAGATTCAAGGGGTTGGATTTTAACCATTATTTTCTCCAGCGTCAGACACAGTCTCTACCTCTGATGTGCAGCGCTCACTGGAGCAGGTACAGTCTGAGGACCAGGGTGGCTCAGCTGGCGTGGCTACAGAGGCTTGGGCTTCCCGGAAGAAGCCCAGCTGAGCACATGGCTGCCCAAAGATGGAGGATACAGGGCAAAATGGAGGGCGTAGCCCTTGCCCTTTCAATGTCATGTGTGTGTGTTTCCTTCCATGTCCCTCATGGATCAGGGTTCGGGATCTGAAAAGAGGAGCCACACACAAATGAGAGAAAAATGACACGAGATAATTTTGAAATAGTGGGGGACCAGGCGGGCAAGTCCATTCATTTATCTGGAGTATCCCTTAGGGTAAGGAGGTTTCAATGACACACCGATTAGCTCATCAGCAGACAATTGCCAGAAATAGGCAGAATATCTGATCAACAATAATCAACAAGGATCACCACAAGTATCTAAGGAATTAAGTGAACTAAGGTGGGGATGATGCTTCAGCTACCATTATCTAGATTAACTGGGTGGTGCACAGCCCTGACCTTTGCTAGGACTTAAAAGGTTACTAACTTTTGGGGGTCTCTGTCTATACTCAGCTAGTGAAGACAATAAAGAGACTCCCGCATAAATGTACCACAGTTTTTCATCCACTATTCTACTGGTGGATACTTGGGTAGTTTCCAGATCTTTGCTATTGTAAATTGTGCTGCTATGAACAGAAGGGTACATATATCCGATCTGATTGTTTCAAGATTCTTAGGATATATTCCTAGGAGTAGAATCACTGAATTAAATGGCAGTTCCATATTAAAATTTTTGCAAAAACTCGAAACTGATTTCCATAATGGCTGTACCAGTTTGCATTCCCACCAGGACTGTACTAGGGTTCCTTTCTTTCACATCCTCCCCAGCACTTGTCCTTGGCTGATTTGTTGATGACAGCCATTCTGACAGTTGGGAGGTGGTCTCTAATTGTTGCTTTAATTTGCATCTCTCTGATGATCAGTGACTTTGAGCACTTTTCACATGTCTCTTGGCCATCTTATCCACACTGCAGCCCAGGCAGAGCTGACACTTTGGATGGCATCAGAAGCAGATGCTCTTAAGTATGAGTGTCTGTTTTGTGACATGAACTTTGTATAATGAATTCAATGGAGGCAGGTCAGATCTAGTCACAGACTTCAGCAACCTCACCCAGCTACATTTGGCCTGAAGGAGACACATGCCAAAGGCCCTGAATGAAGAAACAATGCCTGCCATTCAGAAAGAGCAGGTTCTGAAGAAAGATATTCAAAACCAGCCCCGCAGGTGCTGGAGAAACAAACTTGCCCCGGACATCACCTCCATGAAGGCACTAGAGGACCCCTAGTGTACTTGGTGTGTTCTTGGGCTACTTGCCCCTAAATCCAGTCATGGAGTGAACTGAGAAATAGGGCACCCTCGCCTTGGCGCGGAGAAACTACATTACCAACAAGGCCAAGCGTGGACGACCACCAGGCTGAGCCAATGGGGGCTCAGAGAAGGCATTTCCATTCCGATGCTTCTGCAGGGCGGAATCGGTAGTCCTGCCGGGGTTTTGTCTGTTCACGTTCTTGTCTCAGGCGGTGGAGAGTTCTTGGGCTCAGAGTCCAGGGAGAAGGCTGGAGAGTGGTGCTCCCGTCACACAGCCCATGGTCGGAGCCTCCAGTGGTGTCACAGCTCACACTTGGGATTGAAACTCCGAGTCACCGCCCGGACCCACGCCAGGGCCGGGACAGGGACCGCCATTCCTGCAGCGGCTTCTACTCCCGCCCGCTCAGCCCACAGAGGGCAATGGCGGCGCCTTTGCTGAGGAGACGGGCTGAGGTGAGTCGAGTCCCCCAGGCCCTCACCTCCTCCTCACACAGACACCACAGCCTGGGGAGGGCGCCTGTCCCGTCCTGCAGCTCAGTCCCACCTGGAGGACCGTGAGGAAGGTGGAGGAGAGAGAGGAGTGTTATGGCGTCTGAGGACACAGCAGGTGCAGGGCAGAGCGGACAGGGGTGACTTGCATCTGAAGGTCCCTGAGGATGTGGCTGTGAGTATTGACGGAAAGATCAGAGGCTGCAGGGAGGACGGCACAGACTCATTCGGGGCTTTTCCAGCTGTGGGTCCATCAGGGG